CAAAAAATCAGCCGGGTGTGGTAGTGCATGCCTGTAATTCCGGCTACTTGGAAGGCTGAGCCGGAAGGCTCACCGGAGCCCAGCAGGTCGAGGCTGCGGTGGCCGGAAGCGGCCACTACACTCCAGTCTGGGCGACAGAGTGAGACTCCAACTCAAAAAAAAAAAAAGCACTGCAGTGAGCATCTTTGAGCATCTACCACTGTTCGCTTGCACGGGTGAATACCTAGAAATGGAATTGCTCTGTCAAGGGCGGGCATGTTTAGAACTGTGGTGGACATGGCTGAGTTGCCTCCCCCAAAGGGCCTCTCCACTGAAATCCCCCACACCGTTAGCAATGCTGGCTTGTTTCAACCTGTCTCATCTTTGACAATCTGATAGGTTAAAAAATGATATCTTGTTGTTGCTTTTCTGTGCATTTCTTTATATGGAAGCTTTAAAAGTCAACTGAGCCAGAATCTCCAAGGACGGTGCCCAGAATTTGTACATTTTAGTCTCTCTAGATGAGTCTAGTGATCATCCAGGTTTGGAAACTGCTGTCTTAGTGCCTACAGGTAAAACTAAGTTGCAGGTTTTACTAACATTCCAGATGTGCAGATAGAATAAATTTCTATAAATGTTAATAAATATAAAATGCAATTTTATACATACAAAATGTACAGATAAAATGTAATTTCTTTTCTGTAAGTAATGAGCCTCTTGTCAGAGCCCCTGCTGCGGGCCCATGGGGACAGAAATAAACTAGCTGATCATTTAAACAGCCCCTCAGCTAGTGCCCCGTCTTTCCAGGACAAATCACTCCCTTTCACAGGTAGCCGTCCCTCCTGGCTTTTCTCACTGGGCTGCAGTCTGGGTCTGTGAGGGGAGAGTGTGCCTTTGTGACTCTGGGATGTGGAGAGGAGCTGGAGGCCTGTCCTAGCCTTCACTGATCTCCAGAAGGGCCCCTTCCTGCCCACTGGCAAGCTTCTGGCACTCCTAGTCGGCGGGACTTGTCATTCGGCTGACAGCTTGATAAGCCTCAGAAGTTTTTCCTGAGGGCTCACTGGAAACACCTGACTGGCCTTGACAACCACTCAGCAGCTCCCAGTCTGACTCAGCTTCTTCTGGGTCTTGAGCATGCCTGTGGAAACCAAGTTCTGGAAGATCTAGCCCTGGATCCTCTCTCTGCCAGCAAAGTTTCTGACCAGGTCCACGCAAAGTCACCCTGAGAGGCGAGCGGGTGTGGGGAGGGTGAGAGAGGCCAGACTCCTCTTGCCCCTCCTTGCTGGCTTCATGTTTGCACCTTGACCTTCCGGGTTAAAGCCACGAGAAAGACACGGTTACACCTCTTTAACCCCACACCGCTCCTCCCACATTTTCTTCATTTCTTCCCACAAGTTCTGGGCCAGAAGAGTTGGGCTTTTATTTTGCTTTCTTTCCTTCCATCAGTGAGCAGCAATTCTCAGGCCTTGCTGAAATAAGTATCCTTTTTAGTATTTATTTATTCAACAAATATTTGTGGGGTTTTACTGAGCATTGTTCTAGATGCTGGGAATACTGCCATGAATAAAACAGATGAGTACCCTGTCCCCAAGGCACTTACTGCCCAGTGGGGAGAGATGAAAAACAAATATTTCTCTGTCCCTATCCCTGTCCCTGTCTCGGTTCCTATCCCTGTCCATCTCATCTCTATCCCTCTATTTCTATCCCTGTCACCATCCCTTTCCCTGTCCCTGCCACCGTCCCTGTCCCTATTCCTATCCCTATCTCCCTCTATCCCTATTCATCTCACCTTTATCCCTATCCCTCTCTATTTCTATTTTGACCTCTGTTCCTATCCTTGTCCTAGTCTCGATTCCTTTCTGTCTCTATCTCTGTCCCTGTCCTATCCTTATCCCTACTCCCACCCCATCCTTACCCCATCCCTGTCCCTATCCCTATCCTTATCCCTCTTCATCTTATCTCTACCCCTATCTCTATCCTGTCTATCACTTTTTCTCTCTCTCTCACATACACACCTCTACCCCTGTCCCTATCCCTGTCCCTGCCTCATCCCTACCCCGATCCCATCCCTATTAATCTCCACCTCTCTCTCTATCCTTATCCCTGTCCCTGTTCTTGTTCCTATCCCTGTCTCTTAACCTTATCCATCTCACCTCGATCCCTACATAGCTCTAGCTCTGCCTCTATCTATACCCACCCATCTCTATCCCTACCTCTATCCCTGCCCCTATCCTTGCCCCTTTCCCTACCCCATCACTAGCCCTATGCCTAACCCTATCCATCCCTATCTCTATCTTTATCTCTACTTCTAGCTCATCTCTTTCCCTCTCCCCCTCTATCCCTATCCCTGTCCCTATCCCTATCCCTATCCATCTCATCTCTATTCCTTTTTCTCTCCCTCTCATCTCTATCTTTATCCCTACTCCTATGCCTACCTCAACCCTGCCCCTATCCCTTCCCCTCCCTATCCCTATCCCTACCCCCTCCCTGCTCCATCCCTTCCCCTACCCCATCCCTACCCCATCCTTATCCTATCCCTATCCCTACCTCTACCCCTATCCCTGTTCCTATCCCTATCCATCCTATCTCTACCCCTATCCCTGTCCCTATCATCCCCATCCCCATCTCCATCTCCATCTCTATCCCTGTCATCTCTATCATTATAGCTATCGCCATCTCTAAGCCAGATGACTCTGATGAGAAATGAAGCAGGCTCTGGCTATGGGGGATAAAGAGAGTGACAGTGAATAGGAGCAATAGTTTGCTTTTTGCCTTGACATGGCCCAGTGGGTAAGTGATTATTGAAGAATGAGGGAATTGTACCTGGGCTGTGGCTCGTGCCTATCATCCCAGGCACTTTGGGAGGCTGAAGTGGGAAGATTGCTTGAGCCCAGAAGTTTGAGATGAGCCTGGACAACATAGAGAGACCTCATGTCTACAAAGAATAAAAAAATTAGTCAGGCATGGTGGCACATGTCTGTAGTCCCACGTACTCAGGAGACTGAGGTGGATGGATTGCCTGAGCCCAGGAGGTGGAGGCTGTGGTGAGTCATGATCATGGAACTGCACTCCGTCCTGGGTGATGGAGTGAGACTCTGACTCAAAAAAAAAAAAAAAAAGAATGATCCTAAACTGTGTTCTCCCAGAGAGACAGGATCACACCTGTGCTACTTTCCACTGGGTTTCAAGTGACTGGAAGAACAACTGACATGTGCTAGAGTCTCAGTGAATGTTGAATAAAATGAATGAGTGAATTACAAATGAATGCTAGGTTCAGCACACCAGGGCTTTGCTCATTTCTAATGCTTTACCCTTTCCTCACTTGACATGGCATTTAGCGTTTTTAGCACATGCCACAAAAATGTCTTTTGTCAGAGTCAATGGAATAGGGATTTAGCAAAGAAACATGGAAAGGGAGGAAAAAAAAGAGGAATTATCCCGATTTTACAGAGAGTCACAGGTGGAGAAAAAGGGTTCTGTATGCTGATGTGTGTCCTACTTTCATTAACACTTCTTATCTTTGTAAATGCAAGATAACAGCTCTCAAAATCAAGTACAACCCTTTTGCCAAAGCCTTCTTGGATGCCAAGGAAAGGTGAGTAGAGACATTTCAGTAAAATCTTATGGATGACTTATGCACATCTGAAGTTTATGATCATCTGGAAAGGACCTAGACTGTTAGCATTGCATTACCTTCAATAGAAATATGCTTTTCAATATTCAATGTTCGACAAAATGAACAAAATTCAACCAAATCATAATTATCTGTTTTTTATAATAGGAGTCCAGGAGAATCTTTAGCTAGCAATGTTTTGTCAATCATGTGCTACTATAGATTCTTGAAAGTAGCATTATCACATTATAAAAATAATTTAGGTGTTTTAGATTTATAATAATTCACTCTGCCTGACTCCTACTTACTTCTGAGTAGTATGGTTTTAATACTTTTTTTAAAAAAAAACTACAGTTAGCGTAGGAAAGGTGAGTAATGGTGGGAAGTTCATATTTCTCAGGTGAGAAGAGAGAAGTCAGAGATTTCTGGAAGTATGAGTAATGACTCTGCCACTTTGGGCCAGTGACTTGTCATTTCTGTCTTTCTGTTCCATTCCAGGGGAAAAAAAAAAAAGACAATGGTACTTATTGTTGACTTTTCTATTACCAAGGCTTAGCGTAGAAATATGATTACCTTTGAAGTGCCCAGATTTTTATTGCCAGAGTTTAAAATCTTTTAAACAATTTTTATCACTGTGTAATCTTTTCACCTTAAAGGTCTTGACAGGCTCTGGATGAATGGATAGATGTTTCTGATGACGTATCACAAGACCTAGGACTGTTCAATATTTGAATAAATTCTAATAATGTACAAGACACACATATTTTTACTAAAGGCCTAAAGGACTAACGGATATGTGAGATGACAAAATCTAAACTCAGAATGATGGTAGCATGGCATAATAAAAATAATTTAGGACTCTGAGTAAGAGGTCCTGACTTTGAGTCCTCCTATTGTCATCCTCTGGCTGTTTGATCTTGCATAAGTCAGTTTACCTCCTTGAGATCCACTTTTCTAATCTGCAAAATCAGAAAAGTATAACAATATTTCCCTCACAGAGTCGTTGGTGGAGCCAGCATATCACATATGTAATTGTGCCCCAAAGAGTCTAAGCAAAGCTTAGTTGTTGCTATTGCTTGAACCTTGTCCTGCAGGAACAATAACCCCAAATTAGATCAAACTAAACAGGGATAGTTGCAAACGTGGTAAACAGGGGTAAACAGTAAAAATACAACTCAAAGAGCTATTGCCCAAGTATAGACAGTGCTCAGGAGGAAGGGGACTGGAGGAAAGACAGTAGCTTGAGGAAGAAAGATGTTTGGATTTTATTCCAAGAAATTTGTTGCTCTCCAAAAAAGAATTCTGGGTATGCTTTCTGTTAGAGATGTATCATAAGCAGGGCAGCCATGGTGCACTTCCATTACTTTTTCAGAAATCACCTAAAGGACATCCCGGAGGCTATTTCTGAGAGCCAGCATGTGGCCTATTCTCACTGTGAGTTGGGTGAACTCGAGGGGGAGGTACCTGGGCTGTACTTGGAGTGGACTCCCTCCACACTCAGACTTTTTGTTGTCAGGACTGTTTAAGGCTTGATCCAAATCAAGACCAAGCAGGTTGTTTTTTCCACTCAAGATAAGTTTATGTACTTTCCAGGATTCCTTGAAAGAGTCAGCTTAAGGGACTTTAACAAACCTTAGGCAGTAGGTAAGAACAAAAATGATGACTTTTTTAGACTCTGGTTTCCATATCAGTGAAGCTATGAGCTCTCAAAAGTGTGTTTGCCAGTTTGGAGTTGGTTCCCATGAGGAAGAGTTTGCATTTGTGGACAGGAGGGCTGTAGGGAGATGTGAGGTACCACTCCTGGGATTCTGAAGGTAGTGTTGGATGTTCCCAGCAGGGTGCCACCCTGTCCATGTCCCAGTATGGTGGAGGAGGCATTTGGTGGGGGGTGTCCTCAGAAGCTGCAATGGTACCCTAGGTCATTGACGTCAGAGCGGGAATACTCTGGTATCTGAGACACTTTTTAATTTGAATATTATGACTTACCAAGATCCATTCTACAGTTTTCCAGCTATGGAATTCTTTACTTCCTCCTTCCCCTAAACCTTAGTGCAGCTTCCATGCCAGAAAATGGTCATGTAGCCCACATAAGAAGAAGCAACTTTCAGAAAAGCACTTTTTAAATGGTGACTGTTGACCTAAAGAATAAAAGTAAGGTAACATTAACATAACTGTAACTGACACAAGCTCAGCTGCTTGTTGCTTTTACATAGAAATAAACAGGCAGGAAATGTAGTAAAGAGAAGGTGATTTTATTCCAAAAGCTGGCAGATGGGGAAATAGCCAGGCTTATGCCTCAAAGAAACCACTGCAGTTTTTTAGGTTGAGTGCAAGGTTTAAAAAGGGAAACTTGGTATGGGGAAACATGCAGGCATGGCACAGGATGTGTCTGGATGGCTTATCTTGGGTGGTGGTTCCTCCAGAGGTCTGGTTGGTGTTACCTCAGCTGCAGTCAGGTTATTGATCAATTGTCTAGTGAATCCCCTAAGCAGAAAGTTCCTGCAGCCAGGGTGTTTTAAGATTAGCCCCTGGGATTTCTGAGCAAGCAAGATAAGTATGCATGGTACAAGGGAGTGTCTGTAGACATAAGGAGGAAAGAAGTTTCTAAAACATGTTTCAAGGTTTAAGATTAAGAATGAGAGAGGAAAAAGAAAACTTTGAAATACATTTTAAATCTGAGATACTTGGTTACATAATTAGAGCATTTATTTGTACCAAGTCTGAAGACTGTAATCTGGGAGCATAGATTAAAGTTGCTCTGCATATATACTCTGATTAGAAGAAGTTACAAGTGGATTTTTAAGGAAAAAAGAGACAGGTCTTAAATTATTTACAAAGAATTTACATTAAAATAACATAAGCTTTGTATCGCAAATCCCAGGAACATGAAGGTAACAGAGGAGGCAGCCAGTCAGAAAACTACACAGAAGAAAAGAGAGAATGAAATGCCTTTAAACAATTGCCTGGGGCATGGCGGGTGGGTGCCCAGTGACTGAAGCCCTGTGCTCACATCTCTAGGCTTGATAAATTTTGCATACCTCATTTAACTCAGACTACTCCAATCTATTTTTATTTTCCCATTTCCCCCTGAGTTTTTTCCTTTAGGTTGGCACGACCGGGAATAAAAACCTTTTTTGTGTAGGTTAGGCCGTGTGCAGAGCCACACTGTTTCAAAGTGTTTGCTTTGTAATCTTCTCAGTAAACTTCTTGGGTACAATGTATTCATTGCATAGGGCAAACACTGGTCCTGAGGGGCCACTTGCTGGCTTTTGCCCACTGTCCACCTGAAACTTGATTCTGTTAGTCAGATAGGGACCCTGGGACCATGGGTTTATTTATGTAACAATGGGAAAATGATGACAAAAGGATTTGTTGGGAATGATTGTCATATGAATTTTATGTAAACAATTTGTTTACTTATACTTAAAATGTATTAAGAAAAGTCAGTGGGTTCTTTTTTTATTTTAGAGTTGTGGGGTACAGTGAGGATTTGCTCCCTAAGTAGGCTGCACACAGGTGAGATCTGAGCTTTAGTTGGCCCTCTCTCCCTTTGGTAGTGAGCCAGGTATCCATAGACAGTGGGTTCTACTATCAAGCTCCATTTCCTCATTGCTGAAGCCCAGCTGATAATCTTTACCTAACATTCTGAAGAAGCAGTTCTGGTCCTGTCCAAATCTCCATCTGTGGGTCCCTCAGCTGAGGTCTGATCAGTGAGAGGGCATGATTTTTTAGAGCATGCATTCCTAAGTCTCAGTCTGCCCATGAACTCACTCAGGGTAAGGCCTTCTGTTCAGAATCTTCACTATTTTCTATAAAACATTTTGTGGCCTTCCAAAATATTCTGCAAAATACTGCTGTCCAAGTGTGCTAGGGTAGCTTCCTCTGTTGGTAGGGTGGTGATGAGAGGCATCCTGTTTCCTTTGGCTCGGAGTGAGAATAGAAGATACTTTCCCACTGGGCAGAAATAAGAGAGATCACATTAAACATTCCCTAGTAGCTGTAGGTCAGTGAGTTACATGCTCATCTGATGCCTCCTGGACTGACTCATTGGAAGCCAAGTTATCTGCTTATGGGGAAGGGCAGGGAAGCAGGGGTGGTTGTACCTCCATACAGTGCAAAGTGACTGGTTACCTGATTTTTGCTGTGGAAGCTCACCGACTCAATTTCTGTGTCTTCCCCTTGTCTGTTCTAGTGGGAGGTTGGATCTTTTCCAATCCAGATGGAGTATGCGCAGCAGGCAACACCAACTACCAATATGCTGCTCCTTTGCCTCTGCCTGCTCCCCATACCCACCATGGCTGTGAGCACTACTCGGGCCTGCGAGGACACCGGCAGGCTCCCTACCCCTCTGCATATGTGCATAGAAACCATTCTCCCTCAGGTGTGTGCTTCTGCTAATTAAACCCTTGGGCTGTGGGCTGGGGTGGGTGCAGGAGGAGAGGTAGATAAACAGCCAAGAAAAGAAGTATCTGGGGCTTTTGATATTATTGTATATTATTCTTTTTGTGTTATTTTACTGGTATTTTATCGAGTGACACTCGATGGCCTAGTTATAACAGTATTCGTGTCTTGTAATTATTTTATAAAACGCAGCCTCCTGGCTTCTAAGGAGTGTGAAATGCCGGGGTGCTCATGTACTGAGCAGTTTTGGGCTGATCTCTGAAAGCTGAGTCAAGTCGAGCAGTTCTCAGCTCATTGCCTTCACATGGCTTTTTTTAACAGTTGCATTCATGGTTGCATGATTGCATTCACAATTGCATTCCGGGGAATACTGGGCCCAGTGTTGGAGCCCTGTGAGGAAGGTTTCTGGGGAGCTGGAACACTGCACTTTCTTTCTTTCTTCCTTTCTTTTTTTTTTTGGGAATACTGCATTTTCAGGCCTTAGTTAGGTTCAATTGGAGGCATGCAAGCCCAACCTTAATACTTTCTACAATCTGATTTTTTTTTTGAGTTGGCGCTACTGTTTGTGTGCTTTTTTCTCATTGGCTACTGCCTTGTCTACCTTGGCCTTGTGTAGGCCCAGACCTTGCCTAGTTATTAGATTTGTAGAAAGAAGGGAGAAATGAAAACAAAGGTTAATTTTTCATTAAATTATTCATGCAACAAGTATTTACTGAGAACAGACTATAGGCTAGGTTCTGTTTTATATACATGAATAAAATGGATAAATATTCTGTTCTTATGGAAATTCTATACTCATATAAAGCAATCGGCACTAACTAAATAAGCAAACTTTATGGCATAGGAGATGGTGGAGAGTCTTTAGATTCCAACTTCCTTCTGTTCTCAGTGACATGCTGAGCTCTGCATTTGCAGAATGCTTTTCTGGTCACCAGCACACTGGTCACACTGCTATTCTGGCAACCTCAACAGCTGCCATCAGCTTGATGATATCAGAACTGAGCAGTGTCTCACTCTACTTCTGGTTCTTTCTTGTGGTTGGCACTCAAATCATACCTGAGCACCTGCTAGGCTTTTCTAGGCAGTGGGGATAGGAAGGTGATTAAGACACAGCTTCTTCCCTGAAGGAGCTCACAACCACACAGATACATCGACAATCAGTCCTAATACAAGGTAGTGAGCTCTAATGTGGTCCTGGACCTACAGCATCAACACATTGTTGGTGCCTGTAGTGTGAGCCATAGTTATGTTTTGCCCTAGGATCATGGCATTGGTCACCATCTTTATGTATTCTACGTGTGCTGTCAATTCAACTGTTGTTATTTTCCCAAAGTTAATTTGATAGAAAGCTCAAGCAATAACCTGCAAGTTTTCTCGGGACCCGACAGCTGGACTTCCTTATCCTCCACACCCCATGCCAGCATTCTGTCTGTGCCCCACACCAATGGACCCATCAATCCAGGGCCTAGGTAAGACCAACACCCGGCATCTTGCCCATTGATGATCTTGGGAGTTTACTTTACAACTGAGAACTCAAGCTCATTTTTTTTCCCTATGGTGGCTTGGTCTAAGCTGTTGTCCTGACTTCTAAGCCATTAAGAAGGGAAGGTCACAAAAGGATGGAGTTCTCCTTTCAGAATGAGAGTAAAGGCTCAGCCATACACTCTTTCCTTTGTAGCTTTGGCTTTTTGTACTTAAAGCCTAAAAGCCCGGGATCATTTGTCTTAAACCAATCAGAAATGCTTTAAGCTCTGGTGGCAGCTAAGTGATAATGACTCCAGGGGAACTGAAGAGAAAAAGTGTAAATACACACCGAGACATCAAGTCCCTAGACTGTCCATATTCTCATAAATCACCCGTCCTAAGAAGGGGATAGATCATGGGTGCCTGTCTCACAACCAGGGTTAAGTGTACCATGTGGGACTTATGACATAATTGTCTCACCAGAGACTGCCTAGAGTTCAGACTTCTGGAAATCCGCATGTTGGAGCAGAAAGACAGGGTGCCTTGGAGTCTGACAGACATGAGTCTGAGTCCTAGGTCTACCTCTTACAGACTATGTGACTTTGGGCAATTTTCTTAGCCTCATCGAGCTTCCGCTTTCTCATCTGTAACAGAACAATAACATGAGCTACTCTGTAGAGTTATCATGAGCATCAAAATGAGAAGATACATTAAAATGCTTTGTAAGCAGGTCAGGCATGGTGCCTCACGCCTGTATTCCCAGCACTTTGGGAGGCTGAGGCAAGAGAATTGCTTGGGACCAGGAGTTTGAAACCAGCCTGGGCAGTGTGACCTTTTATCTCTAAAAAAAAGAAAAAAAAAAAAAAAGTTAGCCAGGTGGCGCACACCTGTAGTTCTAGCTACTTGGAAGACTGAGGCAGAAGGATCACTTGAGCCCAGAATGTCAAGGGTGTGATGGAGTTGTGATTGTACCACTGCCCTCCAGCCTGGGCAACAAATAAATAAAAATAACTCAAAAAATGACTCAAAAAAATTGACTCTAAATAAATAAATAAATAAAGCTTTGTAAGTAGTAACATTCATGTCAATGTCAGCTGTTATGTTCAACATGGACATGCAGAATTTGGAGACAGTTCAAAAGTGATTCAAAATTAAAAGATGGGATTTAGGGACAAGTAAGATGACTTGTGATTTTTAAGTCTAGAAAATGTCTGATGGCCTAGAGTCAGCTGGGAATGTTGCTAAGATGCAGAATCTAATCAGTAGGTCAGGGTGGGGGCCTGAGAGTCTGTGTTTCTTTCTTTTTTTTTTTTTTGAGTTGGAGTCTCACTCTGCCACCCAGACTGGAGTGCAGTGGCCGCTCCCAGCCACCGCAGCCTCGACCTGCTGGGCTCCGGTGATCCTTCTGCCTCAGCCTTCCGAGTAGCCGGAATTACAGCACGCGCTACGACGCCCGGCTGATTTTTTTTTTTTTAATTTATTGTAGGGATGAGGTCTCGCCAAGTTGCCCAGGCGGGTCTCGAACCCGCGGGCTCAGGCAATCCACTCACCTCAGCCTCCCAAAGGCACGGGATTACAGGCTGAGCCACCGAGCCCGGCTTGAGTCTGCATTCCTAACAAGCTCCCAGATGTCTCTGGTGTTGCTGTGACCTACAAGAGTCTAGAGAGGTTCTGTCCACCATAGCAGCCACAAGCCCCCTGTGACTGTCACTTGAAATGCGACTAGTCCATATTGAGCTGTGTGGGAAGTGCAGCACACACACAGGGTTTATTAGGAAACAAAGAATAAAAATCTCACAGCCTGGGTTACAGCAAGACTCTATCTCTACAAAAATAAAAAATAAAAAAATGAGCGGAGTTTGGTGGTGTTCACCTATAGTCCTGACTACTCAGGAGCCTGAGGTGTAAAGATTGCCCGAGTCCAGGAGTTCAAGGCTTCGCAGAACCATGATCATGCCTCTGTGCTCCAGCTTGGGTGACAGAATGAGACCTCTTCTCAAAAAAAAAACAACAAAAAAAAATTTTCAGTAATTTTTTAATATCGAATGCATGCTGAGGTGATAATATTTTGAATATTTTGGTTAAGTATAATTTAACAAATTCATTATTTACTTCTTTTTTCTAAATGTTCTACTAGAAAATCTCAACTTCTGTATGTGGCTGAATTTGTGACTCACATTTTATTTCTGTTGGTCAGTGCTGGTCTGGAGGACCTGGGGGAAAAGTACTGGTTTAGGCTGTGGTAGGAAGGGAGAAAGAGAACGAAGATAAATGTCCCCAGAGATATTAAACAGTTACGTGCCAAGTCTTGTCCTAGATACTTTACGTAAGTCACTGGTGGTATTCAAAGACATCTACAAGGAAGGTATGAAAAAGTCCTATTTTACTAATAAAGAAATGAAGCTCAGGGGCTTTACAGACTTCCTAAAGCTCACACAGTGAGTAGTGTAACTCAGAGCTCAAAGTTTCCCCACTGCCCAGGGTGCACGAGAAAGGATCTAAATGGGTCACTGTAGAGATGGGGCCAGAGTACCCGCAAGCTGAGCTAGCTCAGAGCGCACAGGCAACGGCTTCTGCAGGCTTCTTGTGGTCTAGGGAGGTCTGTAGCGTCGAACACGGCACAGGGTGGAGGGCGGCATTGCCATCAGTAGGTGTGTTTAACCCACTCCTGAACCCATAAAGATTTTGTTAGAAAAAAAAAATGTGTTCAGTACCATTATTGGACAATGAGCAGTTACTAAGCAATGCATATCAGGCGATGCAGAACATAGTGACACCTAAGGCTGGAAACGCTGGTGCTATCCTAGCTGTTCTGACTGCAATCATACATTGAGTTCTGTGTTGAGGAGCAAACTTTCCTGCATGTTACAATCCACTGGGAAGCTTTTAAAAATCCTGATACCCAGGCTGCATGCCAAACAGTTAAATCAGAATTTCTGGGGTGACCCAGGCACCAGTAGTGTTTATTAAGACTCACAAAGTGATTCCAATGTGCAGCCATGTTTGTGAACCTGTCTGTAGGACTAGAGAAGGCAATGAAAGCAGTCCTCTCCTAGTCTTTCCATTGGGGCCAGAGCTGGCAGGATGGAAGAACACAGCGTAACAACCACCATTTACCAAGTGCCACATGCTAGGCACCCTATTCTCATCTTCTTGGTTAATCCTCACTACAATCTCTGGAATGTATATGAAATTATCACTCCAAATCTTGGAGATGAGAAAATAGACACTCAGAGATAAGAAATCATTTGGCCTAGGTCTAATAAGTGGTGGAGGTGGGATTCAAACCTGGGTCTTCCGACAGCAATTGTCCTGGGTATAGGCCCCATTGCCTCTCTTGGCTAGTAAGAGGTCACACACAGGGATCGTACTGTTTACATACCTTCCTTTCCCCACCCTGCCCATGTAGGCTGCAGGGAGCCCAGAGCAACAGAATGCTATGTCCAAAATCACATCACTTGCTAGTGGCAAGGCTGGCACCAGAATCTAGGTCTTGGGACACTTAGTCTTGTCCTCATTCCACCACACTTTGCTGTTTCTCAGCTTTTCTTCCCAGAAACAGGGCCAATCTATGTCAGAGTTAGAAATAAAGCTGGGGCCAAAACCTCTTCCAGTCCCACCCTTCTCAGCACCGTGTCCCTGCTGGTCAGGTGGCACACCTTCTGTTGGTGTGTCAAGCATTTCCTCTCCCCCTCTGTCTCTGCAGCCCCTATCCATGCCTGTGGACCATCAGCAATGGAGGCGGAGGCGCTGCTGGACCGGTCCCAGATGTGCATGCCAGCACCCCGGGAGCATTCCTCCTCGGAAACACAGCAGTGACATCGCCCCCCTCTGTGCTGTCCACCCAAGCACCTGCTTCGGCTGGCATGGAAGTTCTGGGGGAGCCTTCGCTGACCAGCATTGCGGTGTCCACCTGGACAGCAGTGGCCTCACATCCCTTCTCAGGCTGGGGTGGCCCCGGCGGGGGTGGGCCCCATTCTCCTTCCTCACTGGACAGTTAGGCGGGATCCTGGGAGCCTCTGCCAGCAGAGACCCTTGTGTGTAGAGTGTAGAAACCCCATCTGTGAGTCCATGAGGCAGACTGCAGGGCCTTCCCTCCTACCAGGCTGGGAGGCGGTCTGGGCTGCGCCCGAAGTCCTGCTGGGAGATGGCTTAGTTGGGATGCTGCTGACTGTGTCATTTGCATGTCTCCACCATTTTCTTTTGCACTCCTGTTTCCTCAGAGGCTTATCCTTGACATGCTTGGATGATGGAAGTTCATCGAGTATCTTCCTCGTGCCCCCCTCCCCTTACACTCAGATAGTTCTGGAAAGCCTCACCTTTTCTGTAGAGGTGGTGCACAGTTGTTAAAGTGAGCTCCAAGTTTACTCAACTGAGACCGCTCTTTCTTGGTTTGTGAAGCCTTGGAAAGTATGACCCCCCAAAAAAACTGTAACTGTCTTTTGGAGGGCGGGTTCCTTGTAGTACACTTGGAATTTGTTCCCCTGAATCAAATGGTCAACCAAAATTTTTATCTGGAAATTCTGAGAAGGTTGCGTCGCAATCTGTGGAAGAAACGCCTCTAGTTGCGGCAAAGAGGTGACTGGTTTTACCACCACGACAGCGCACCTGTCCACACTGTGCTGAATGTTAAGCAACTTTTGACCGAAACCGGCATGATCCCTGTGCCTCACCCTTCCTATTCACCTAATCTCACTCCAGAGACATTTTTTTGTTCTTCAGATGAAAAAAGTCCTCAAAGGGAAATGTTTCCACAATGTGGAAGAGATGAAACAAAAAATGACAGAAGCACTTAAAGGCATCAAAATTGATGAGTTCCAAAACTGTTTTGAGTAGTGGAAAATGCATCTTGATGGGTATGTATTGCATCAAATGGAGAGTACTTTGAAAATGACTGAAGTTTAAACATGTAAGAGTAAATACACAATTTTTAATAAATAAATGCCATTTTTGGGGTCCCCGCCTTGTATGAGCGGCCCCAGGGTTCAGGTGGGCTTTGGCTTGGAGACCAGGAGAGGGAGAGAGTCGATAGAGTAAGGTCAGTAGAAAGAATAAAGCTAATTGTGTATTACAGCAGTGTGCCCCGGATTGAGGAAATGAGGTCCTGTCACCCCCTTGCTCAGAAACCTTCAATAGCTCACTATTGCCTACAGAATGAAATCAGACCTGCTCACTATCAGGCCGGACACCACTTCTCCAGCTCTGTTATCCCCTTGGCATTCTGTGATTCAGTCAGGGCAGACATCTATGTTTTCTGGACACTCATACACTTCCCCCTTCCCTGCCTCTCCTGAGCCTGAGGTGTCCGTCTCTCTCCAGTTTGCCTGTGTGAGTCCTCCCCACCTCCCAGGGACCAGATGAAACGCCACTGCCCACATTAAACTTCTGATCTGCTGAGATGTATGTGATGTTCTTTTGCTCCCTGCCCTCCCGCTGTTTTCGACTCTGCTGTGAGCCCACCTCATTCTGCCTTATAATTTTGTCACCTGTGAGTGTGACTCTCTCCCTCTGGACTGTAAGCCTCTGCAGCATAAGGCCTAGCTAGCCTTCTTCTCTTTGTAGCCCCCGCACCTGGGGCTGTGCCTAATAAACGTTGCTGAGTTGAACGAGTGTGAAGTGCATGTGTGCTGCCAGTTCGGCGTGGAGTAACCGGGAGGGGGAACTCAGAGACGCATGCCCCATGGCATGTGTCAGCATGGGAGCCCAAGAACATGCTGACTGTTACCTGGCTCCTCATCTGGGCACAACCTGTTCCCAGTGATTGATGATGACGAGGTGTGCTGGAGCGGCCATTCCCAAACACCAGTCCCCCTGTGCAAGGATTCCCTGGGCCACTTGATAGAAAAGCAGATTCCTGGGCACACCCCACAGCTTTTGGATCAGAATCTTTGGGGCTGGAGTCCAGGAGGCTTGCAAACTCCTTGCCTAGGATAGAGAACTAGAATGATAAATACTCCAGAAGCCTCATTTCAGATGAACTGCCACCTCTGCCCCAGCCCAGGTCATTGCTGTAACTAGTGAGCAACATCAGTTTCTTTAGTTTTCCTTTTCTACCACTACTAATGTGGGTAGGATGGAATGTGGAGTGAGACTTCAGACCTGAGTGATGAGCAGTTCTCCAGACATCGACATGAGACTGCACTGACATGCAGCTCTTCCCAGGGCCAGTACTGTGTGTGTGTGTGGGGGGGGGGGGTGTGTGTAGAAGAAGAGGGTCTAAGGTTCCACTCAGAACCCAACAGTGGCTCAGCTCTTCCTACCCCTACTGCGTCAGCTGAAACCACACAAACCCAGTCCACTATAAGGCTTAGTTTGAGGAATCCAAACATGGCTTCGTTGAGTCTTTGGCTCTTCTGTAGCGAAAGTTCCTTTAACCCTTTGTGGTTAGCACTGCCCTATAGTTATTTTGATCTCTAGAAACAATGCCCCTCTGGCTCCATGGTGTCCTGGGAAGCCACATCATGGCCTTCAGGGTGCTTGGCGAGAGCTCTGGGTGGCCAATTTGTGTGCGAGTGACCAAGGCACAATGAACTCATATGACTGGAAAGCTGTCTGGTCAGCTCATGCCCTGGGCAGAATTGTTCCTGGTTCTCTAGTCCCTTTGCAATACCATCAGGGGTCATGAAGGTATTAATATATTAGCATCTCTGCTAGGTGGCATTTTGGTAAGTTATAAAAAGGGGCTGTTTTTTCATTTTGTTAGAACTTCAGGCTGTTGTGGCCTCCAGTTGTTCAGTAGATCTGGCCAAGGCCTCCTCGCAGGTTACTGCTGCAGTCAGTCCTGCACCAAGTACTCAGTGAGTGCAATTAGACTATCAAAACCCATCTGAGTCACACCCTTCCTGCCCCTTCCCCAGCCTGGAGCAGACAGAGGATGTGGCCCAGACACACAGAGCATAAAGAAGCCAATGACCTTTGTTCTTTTTCACTTATGTTGCTCTGGTCAACTGGGTCCTTGCAGACCACTAACATGAGCCTCAGCTGAGTGTGGGTGATCATATCTCCTCAGTCTTGTAGGATGCTCAGTTTGGAATCTGCAATGATTAGCACAAAATGGGACAGCTGGCCCTGCATATAGGACCTCTATTTGCTGTTAGCTGAGACATTTACTTTCCGGTGTTTTCTTTAAATAGTACAGGCCAGGCATGGTAGCTCTTACCTGTAATCTCAGAAATTTGGGAGGCCAAGGCAGGAGGACTGCTTAGCCCAGGAGTTAGAGACTAGCCTGGACAACATAGCAAGACTTCATCTCTACAAAAATAAAAAATTAGCTAGGTGTGGTGATGCACACCTGTAGTCCTAGTTCCTCAGGAAGTCGAGGAGGGAGGTTTGTTTGAGCCCAGGAGGTCAAGGTTGCATAAACTGTGATTGTGTCATTGCATTCCAGTCTGGGTGACAGAGTAAGACCATGACTTGATATTAGAAATAAATACACAAATAAATAGTCTAGGGCTAATTTCTGATCAGAAGGAACAACACTAATTACTTAAGTCAGTTTAACAAATGACAGATTCTCTGAAGTGTTAGATGAATTCTGGAGTCTTGTATACCATTCCTTTGCTCTTGTATTTTCTTTATTCAGTTTATTAAACAAAAATGGTGCCACTTCAGGTGTTCTGGCCTATCCCAAGAAATTTAAGAGAAATGGAAATCCTAACCGGATAGAAAGAGTTATGCAGTTCTTTTAGCTGGTTGGCAGAGATTCAAACTCCCCCTAAAGCCTGCTTTATTTGAAAGTGTTCCCCTTTGTGGGGCTTTTACTTGGGGCTATGAAACCTCATTAGGGTCCCCTCCCTGGGTGAGCCAGCCTTATCACCACCTCTGCCCACCGTACTGAAGCCAAAGACTTAAAGGAAACTGCTGAGTCCCTTCATGTCCCTTGGGGGGTACTCCTTGGAACTGATAGAAAGGAGTGAGGAGGTGGTCAGATGGGGGGAGTGATGTTTTCATCACCTAAGTTATTAGGAAAACAACTCAATAAAGGATATTTGAAACTTGTTAGGTGTTTTTGCCTTTCCCCCAAAACTCCAGTACATTTGAGTGAACATCAGCAGTTAAAACATTACATTTGCGAAGAATATGAATTCTATTTTATGGAATTGTGGGGCATGGCAACCAGGCCATTTCTCCACCCCTTCCCACTTTTGGCTCCTGGCCAAGTTGGTAAACAGAGAGAGTATGAGAATCCTGAACAAAGATTGGGGTAGCAATATGTGGTACCAAAGAAGACATGGGAGAAGGACCTCTGTGGTCAGAAGACACTAAAACTTCTCCATTAGCATCATTGTAGAGACATCTGTGATGTTGTCTGCCCAGCATCCCAACCTTCTAGGGAAATTGCCTCCCCTCCTCCCACATCCACATGTCTATATTGGGGGCTGCCATTCTTGTACCTGACTCTACCTCTCTCAGCATTGTTAGTTGGTTCAGGGGTTTCTCTCACTTGTACTAAAGAGTCTCGCGTACTATAGGAAGACTGTGAAGCCCATCACAGGTAAAGGCACACAGGCTCATTAGTTCCAAGTTTCACTATGTGAAAGGCTATATTAGGCCTGAAAACGTACCAAAAGTGCCTTAAAAATGGAGGAAATAGAGCTGAAACTTGAGATTATTGTAAACAAAATGCAATTGACAATATTCATTAAGTGGTTAAAAGTGGTGTCATTACTAGTCAACCCAAATAGGGACTGAGATGATCTCTTTAGGTGAATGTTTTCCCATTGGGAGAGTCAACATATGCTTTCTGCAGGTCTATACTGGCTACATTCCTGTTAAACACAAGTCACACTGCTAGTTGGACAAATACCATTCTAGTATTTGTTGGTTGACTAGTAGAGACTATTTCCACGATATGGCTGGGTCCTGAGTGCATGTACACTAATTGTCTCCACCGTTCCAGCTCTTTGCCTGGAAGTACTGTAGACATCCTGGTTCTCAGTCTGTTGTTAAGATCTTGGATCACAAGAACCACAGCCAAAAGGGACAGTAAGGGAAACCACCATTGTCATTAAAAAAACCCCAAACAATGAAAACAACAACAAAAAATCCCCAAATCCTTCTTAGTTGGCAACAGAGAAAGAGTGTTCTGTGAAGAGGAAAAAGTAGATTTGCAGCTTCTGTTAAACCCAAATTTCAGAATCCGAGAGACCAACAAAGAGCCAGCTCTGATGCAAACACACAAGGGTCTTTGTCTGGGCTCACGCCCGAAGTCTGGGCTCACGCCCGAAGCAGCAGCTTCAGGG